ACCGGCCCGCAGCCGTTGCTCCCTGCGTTTCACCCACCCAGCACAGCGCTTCGCGGCCCCATAGGGAGCCCCACCGAAGGCCCCACTGGCACCGAATGCGTCAGCCGCCACCCAGCACAGCCCTTGCTCCCTGCGTTTCACCCACCCAGTACAGCGTTTTGTGGCCCCATAGGGAGCTCCACCGAAGGTCCCAGTGGCACCGCCCGCGTGCGTCAGCGGCCACCCAGCGCGGCGCTTGCCCCCTGCGCTTCGCCCACCCAGTGCAGCGTTCCGTGGCCCCATAGGGAGCTCCACCGAAGGTCTCAGTGGCACCGCCCGAATGCGTCAGCCGCCACCCAGCACAGCCCTTGCTCCCTGCGTTTCACCCACCCAGTACAGCGTTTTGTGGCCCCATAGGGAGCTCCACCGAAGGTCCCAGTGGCACCGCCCGCGTGCGTCAGCGGCCACCCAGCGCGGCGCTTGCCCCCTGCGCTTCGCCCACCCAGTGCAGCGTTCCGTGGCCCCATAGGGAGCTCCACCGAAGGTCTCAGTGGCACCGCCCGAATGCGTCAGCCGCCACCCAGCACAGCCCTTGCTCCCTGCGTTTCACCCACCCAGTACAGCGTTTTGCGGCCCCATAGGGAGCTCCACCGAAGGTCCCAGTGGCACCGCCCGCGTGCGTCAGCCACCACCCCGCGCAGCCCTGGCCCTCTGCGTTTCACCCACCCACCGCAGCGCTTCGTGGCCCCATAGGGAGCGCCACCGAAGAAGATATTCATAATTGCGGCACTTACAATTGCATATGGTTGGGCCCTTCGCCAGGCTAATTTTTTGTTGGTCAGGGATGGCAGCCCTGCGCGCGGCAGGGGATGTGCGAACGCCCCGGCCGCCCCTGTTACAGACAATGTAATGTGCTCGCGGGCCTCCTGAACACGATCCAAGACTTTGCCCAAAAGTGAATTTCGTTTTGTTTTGACAGGGGTGGCGGGGGCGGCCGCGTCGGGCTGGCCGCGCGCGCTCCACATGTGGAGGCAGACTACGTTTAGTATTGCTTTGGAACATGGATGGCGAGGGGGCGGCCCGCGCGGGGCCGGCGCGGTTCTGGGTTGGCCGCCAGCCTGGCAGCGCGAAACGCCCCCCCGAAGGGGAAGAAGGGAGTCGGAAGAGACGCCGCCCTAGACCACCTGCACCTAGAGGGCCGGTGGGATTTAAGCGCAGTCCTCTCCGGCATCTCACGGTGCAACCGTGCCCGCGCGAATGCCCAGCTTGCAATCGTGGCCGACTCTCCCTCCCAGCTCCACGCATGCGTGAACGATCGCGCGCGGGTCTCTCCGCTGCTTTTTTGTTTCGCTTTCATTTGTTCATTTTCGGTCGATGGCGCAGCGGGCGATGCAAGTGCGCGCGGCCACTCTGGAGGACGCCGAGAAGAGGCCACCCGCGGGTGCACCGATGCTCTCTTTTTCGAGTGGCGGACCCGGAGGGGAGCAAAAGTACGCTTTCAAGACGGGTGACGCAGCGGCGCCCCCAGAAGCGGGCGAGGGCCCGACCGTGGAGTTAGACGAGGACTCGGCACGAGACGACGCTGGAGATCATGTCAGGACGTCAACGTAAGAGAGGCCTGGGGGGAGCAGTTCTCGCTGCACGCGCGTTCCCCCGCGAGCGTGCGATCCACCCGGCAGGGGTGGCAGCTGCCTAGAAACATGTCGAATTTGCGAGGGGCCTCCAGGGCCCGGCGCTGGCCCCGAGCGCCCGCGAAGCTATGGTCGTCTCGCGCGCGACAGTCGAGCGCCCGACTGCGCGCGCGCAGCCCGCGCCCGCGGACCCCCTCAGGATGCGAAAGGGCGTCCTCGATGGGATCCACGGCCAGCCACCCGCAGCCGCAGGGCCCCCCCGCCAAGACATTCGAGGGCGCCAAGACGACCTGCGCACCAGCAGGAAGGGCCCCCATACATTGGTCCGCCAGACCCGCTTCGCGAAAAGCTGGGCGGGCGGCCCCGTAGAGGCCCTTTCCGCCGATGAACGCACCGATTGTTTTAACCATCTTCCTCGGTCTCGGCAGCGAGGCGTGGAGCACCCCCTGCCCGAAGCCCGCGCCAGAGCGCTGGGCTCGGGGGCCTCCAGAGAAGATGCCTCGGGGCGCGCGCCGCCAAAAGGCTTATTCCAGATGGAGAACGCGACGAAAGCTGATCATGTGATCAAGCTCTCTCCGCCCGCCCCCCCCCCCCCCCCCCCCCCCGCAAGCCTTCTGCCTTGCCCGGCCCGCGCCGCCCCGCCCCTCCCCGCGGGCCCGTTCCTGGGCGCGGTCGAATCCGATGCGGGGGCGAGCGGGGCCCCGCCTCGCAGCTCCGATAGTCGAGGTCGACGCGGCAGAGGGGAAGGGTGGAGGGCGACGTAGAGATCCTGCAGGCAGCCCTCCTCCTCCTCGTCCTCCTCCTCCTCGTACTCCTCCTCCTCCTCCCCCCTCCCCCTCGTCCTCCCTCTGCCCCCCTGGCTTCGGCTCGCACGCCCCATCGGTCTCATGGTTTGTTCCCTCGCAATGAGAGCTCTGTCATTGCTTGTCCGATTTATTCTCGGCCGGCGCAGGTGTCTCGACCCTGCGCCGCGCTTCGCCCGAGGTGTTCCCGCGCCACGGCGAGGAGGTGCCCCCTCGATTTCAGTTTGACTTCGACGCGGGCAGAATGTATCACGCGCGCCCTGCGGTCGTCAGCATGCTTCTCATCGCGCGACTCGGCCAGTCGCAGAGTAGCTCGCCAGCCAGCCTCTTCCCCCCCTTATATCTCTGGATCCGCGGTGGGATTTCTCTTCGGCCGCGCGGGCGTCTTGCCCGGCCTCGCGCTCTCAATGTCCCGCCGTCGCGCTCTCCCGTTGCATGCGGGGCATGTTTTGATGCGTCGCCGTCTTTCCTCGCGACCCACTGGCAGCCGACTCGGGCGAAGAGGCGCGCTGCGCCCCAACGCGAGCGCACCGCGCGGTTGGGTCGCGCATGGCGAGCTGGGTAATCCCCCCCCAGCCCTGGACGGTGTCGGGTGAGTCTCCGCACGCAGCGCTGGAAGGTCGCCTTGCGGAGCAGGGTGCGACCTTGCGGTGCTTGTGGCGAATGGCAAGTTCAGCAGCTCTTCGTTTGAAGTGGCTTGTTCACGCGGCGCGCTGGCACCCTGCTCGATGTCGGTTCTGGCCCCCTCCCCCATCCTGGTTCTCTCCTCGCCCTTCCGCTCAGCCTCAATTTTCCTCATCCCCTTCCATCTTCTTGCCACTCACCGTGAACCAGCCGGTTTCTTTTCCGTGGAGACCCCCTCGATCATTGCAGAGCTCACCAGTTTTTCTTTCTTATATATATATATATATATATAAAATCGAGGGCCCCGAACAGCCAATCCTCCCGCCGAACAGAAACTGCCGCTGCGAAGTCGATCTTCCATATTACAGTCATGGGTGACACTGCTGCAACCGTTTCCGCGTTCCGAATTCCAGCAAAAGCACTGGGTGGACGCCCCCCCGTCTACATCCCCAAGTCGACCTTCGTCGCAAAAAATCGACGCGCGCCAAAGGTGCTTCAACACATGGCGTGGTGCACTGAATCATCCTCCTCCTCCTCCTCCTCCTCCTCCTTCTCCTCCTCCCCCTCTTCCTTCTCCTCGTCCTTCTCCTCCTCCTCCTCCTCCTCCACATCCTCCTTCTCTTCGTTATCAATATTATCATCCTCTTCATCCTCCTCCTTTTCCTCCTCCTCGTGTTCCTCCTCCTCCTCATCCTCCTCCTCCTCCTCCTCCTATTCATCCCTTTTCCTCCTCCTCCCTCCTCCTCCTCTCCTCCTCCTCTCTCCTCCTCCTCCTCTCCTCCTCCTCCTCCTCTCCTCCTCCTCCTCCTCCTCCTCCTCCTCCTCCTCCTCCTCCTCCTCCTCCTCCTCCTCCTCCTCCCTCCTCCTCATTCCTCTCGAACGCTCCACCACAGCAATTTTGGCCCAGCCCGCCAGCTCCGCTGACGCCCCGCCAACTCATCACCAGAGTTCCGGCGGCGCTTCTCTTTCGAGACATGGGCATGGGTCGCCATGGAGGGAAAGGCGGGTCCTGAAGGAAACGGGTCCTGGGGATTTTTGTTCGTGTTCGGGCTCCCGGAGCCCTCCGCGGGCCCTGGGTCTGCCAGAAGGCAGCTCGGGATGAACACGCCATCCTGCGTGGGGGAATGCGCTTGGGTCCAGGACCCGTTTCGTTCAGGACCCGCTTCCCCCGAGGCCGAGACATGGGTGGGCCCCCTTTCCACCCAGCGGGTGTTGCCAGAGGCGTCCCTGGCCCAGGCTGTCCCCAGGAGCCCCGGGACGGCCAAAATGGCCTGCAGAGGGCACCCCTCGTGAGGCTCCCAGGGCCCCTGCCAGGTGCATTCAGCATGGTGTGAACATAACGATTCGGAGGTCCGCACGGATTTCTCGGATCGGCGCTGGGGCCCCTTGGCGGTGCCTCGGGTGCCGCCCCCCCCTGAATTGGGCAGCGGTGTATATATGCGACGCCATGCTGGTTTGGCCAGGATGGCGTAAACACAGTTGCTGAGTTCAGGATGGGCCTGGCCAGGGAGCAGTGTGTATATATATATATATATATAACAACGCACAGCTATACATATACATATATATATATATATATATATATATATATATATATATATATATCCATATCTATACATAGAGAGATATGATACTGCATTGGCGCTTCGCCCTATGCGTTTTGTTCTGGACGATTCCCCGGCAAAACAATAAATCATCGCTTGCTTCAGCACCGTTCCTCATGGGAGGAGGTAAAGAGAAAATTCGTCTGGCTGTTCATCTGCCGCCTCCAAGGTTTAGCCCGACCCATCCCTTCCTCTTCCTTTCCTGCTCTTCCGCCTCCTCCTGTGGTTGGGTCCATCCTTTGAGGAAGTAAAGAGCGTTCCCGTGACCCGCCGAAGAAGTCGCAGTAGCTCCGAACAAATCGATGTTCGGTCGCTTCTTGAATGCCTGGAGGGCTCCAGGGAATCATCGGTCGTCGAACTACGAATCTAAATCCATTGCTTGTTTCTCTCGATCGAGGAATTTACACCTCGAGCCTCAAGCGTGGAACCACGATCGTCGGGTCAGTTCGATGTACTTCGTAGGAGAACGCCGTCTGGGCGTTTTGTTTTTTGGTGGGGGCCGTCCTGGGGCGTCCTGGGGCCTTCTTGGGCCGTCTTGGGGAGCTGGGGCCTCCCAGAGGTCTTCTGAAACCAACTAGGGTCCTCTTAGGGGCCTCCAATGGCCTTACTGGGGGTCTCCCATGGCTTTCGTGGTTCTCTCCTGGGAGCATTCTGGGGACATCTTGGGCTTCTTGTGGGCAGCCTCGGGGCTGTCTGGGGCAGTCGTGGGGCCCTCTTGGGCCGTTTTCAACCACTCCTGGGGTGCCTCTTGGGCCGTCTTGGAGCGATATCGGGGGCCCATCGGGCCGTCTTGAACGCTGCGAAGACCCAAAATGCGAATATGCTAAATATTTGGACGTTGTCCTAATGGAATGGGACGATGTTTGCTTCTTCGAGGCTCTCGTAACGGCCTCATGGGGCCGAGGCTCTCTTAACGGCCTCATGGGGCGTCTTGAGGGCTCTTGGGCCGTCTTCAGACCATCGAGGCTTCTCTTGGAGCGCTTTTGGGCTGTCTTGAGTCTCTCTTGCGCCTGACCCCTCTGATCGCCTTGAGTCGCTTCGCAAGGCCCGACACGGCGCCCTAGGAGGCCAAGAACAGCCAGCGGACCTTTTCCAAGGGCGTCCAGGGGGCCGCCGAGACGTCAGAAAGGGCGTCCGGGGCGTCCCTGGGGGGGGTCCAGGTTAGGGGGGTGGGGGTTGACATATAAACATGGATACATATATACATATATACCTATATCTATACATATATTCATATCTACATATATATACATAGTTACACACATATATATATATATATATATATGTTTATACTATATATACACATCGTTGCGCTACCTGGGCCACGCTCGAGCCCCTTTCCTGAGGCCAGCTTGTCGTCCCTAACCGCTCGGAAGTGGCCCTCGAGGCCCCGGGACCGGCCGCCGTGGAGGGCCACGTGTGACGGGTCACCGGCCGCTCCGATGCTTCTCGCCAGAAGCCCGGCGCCTCCACGATATGTTCGGGACCCTCCACCTCCTCCTCCTCCTCCTCCTCCTCCTCCTCCTCCTCCTCCTCCTCCTCCTCCTCCTCCTCCTCCCTCCTCCTCCTCCTCCTCTCTTCGAGGCCATGCGGCCTCGGCGGTCGCCGCGGCCGCCGCTGCGGCCTCGACTGTCGCCGCCGTGGCGGCCGCGGCGGCGGCCGCGACGGCGCGGCACCTGCCGCGCGGCAGGTGCGGAAGGGGCAGGTCGAGGGCGTGGGCCGCCGACCTTTCGACCACCTCCCCAGGACCGGTTTTGCCCCCAGGCCCAGTGTCAGTAGGTCGGGGGTCCCCAAACGGGGTGTTGACCACACCGTGCGGTGAGTCGGTGGGGAGTCGGGGTCACCGCGCGGTTTTGGGACTCGGGTCGTTCTCAGAGGACGTCTCGGGCGACTGGGGCTGGCGAGGTGTCCCAAAACCGTGCGTTGACGGACCGTGCGGTGAGGTCTTGGATTTGTCACTGCACCGTTTCGGGACTCCAAAGTAGGGCTTCGGGAGGCCGAACGCATTGAAGACCTCCGTCCCCAAACCCCCGACGTCATGATTTTTGCTCATGACCTCGACCCCCAGAGGTCTTGACCCATACTAACCCCGCCGAAGCGGCTTTTCATCCTGGATCGTTTTGTCCACGGCCCCGAGGGCCGGTGAGTGCCCCCAGAGGCCGAAACTGGCGAACAAGCCTCCCAGTCATGACTTTTTCTCCTGGCTCCGGGGGGATTCGGGGCACGCAGGGAAGTAGCCTCCGCCTCGATCTGCTGCTCGAGGCGCCGGAAGTCTGGGCTTCGAGCCTCCGGCGGGTGGCAATGGGGGGTGACCCACAGGGGGGGGGTAGAAGGGGGCCCCAACGGGGCCTTCCAGGGTCCCTGTTGGAGCCGGCTGGTGCCTGAAAATGAGGCCCAGAGGGCCTATTTTGGGGGTCCTTTTTCTTGACCCCCCATGTGGGCCACCCCCACCCTGAAATCCGACGTTGCAAAAAGTACAACATCTAGGGGCGAAGTGAACCCCACTCTCCCCCTCAGAAATCGTGGGGGGTAGGGGTAGGGTTCGCATGTGGCCCCCTAACATCGCAACAAATCACGCCCAGAGCCCTGGACCGCATCTTTCGAGCCGGATCCATCTGTGACGGCCCCGGCGCCCGAAGTGGAGCGAAACCCCGCGTTGGGAAGAAGTTGCAGCGCCAGGATCTCAGGGATTGGTGCCCGCCCGAGGGCCGCCGCATCGCCGGGCCCGCCGCCCCCTCCCCGCCGCCATGCCCTCGGCTCGCCAGGCAGCGCTGTGCGCCGCCGCGGGCGCGGCCGCGGCCGCCGCGTGCTGGGCGCCCGCCGCCTTCGCGCTCCCCGGCGGCGCGGCCGTGCGCGCAGGAGCTCCGCGGGGGAGGCGCCCCGCGGGGGGGGCGCCGGAGCGAGGCCGCTCTCCGGCCGCATGCCTGCAGCGGTCTCCTTGCACCGCGCCGCCGAAGACGGCGAGGAGGAGGAGGAGGAGGAGGAGGAGGAGGAGGAGGAGGAGGAGGAGGAGGAGGAGGAGGAGGAGAAGAAGGACCAGTGTAATTCAACCCCAGGCTCATCAATGATGTTGTCCTTCCGAGCTCCCTCTTCAGAGGCGCCTACAGGGGTGCATTTCCACTCAGGGAACTGCCTCGTTGGGAGACAATCGCCTAGAGATCCTGAAGCATGCCAAAACATAATCCTCGGGACTCCGACGCCACGGCGCAGCTTGACTGTTGCGTCTTGACGATCCTGAATCGGTCCAGAACACCATTCCTGGGACTGCAGCACCCCGAACCAACGTTACTGCTGCACCCTCACCATCTTGAGCCCTTCTAAAACACCATTCCGTGCAACTCTTGCACATGTTTTAAACGTGTGCGCGCGGCGCTAAGGCAAGATCCACATGTTGGAAATGAACCGCTCTCAATGCGAGAAGCTCCTGCAACTTTTGAGACCGAATGTTCGCGGCGCTCGGGCGAGAACCACAGTCTGAAAACCGCCGGCCCTAAATCCGGGAAGCCCTTGCAAAGCTTGAAAGCGAATGTGCGCGACGCTACGGCGAAAACCGCATTTTGAAAACCGCCCGCCCTCCATTTGTGAAACTGCTGCCAAGGTTCTAAGCTTCAGTCATGAATGATGCGGAAGTAGCCTTTCGACCGGCCTCGTGCTCATGTGCGTTGTTGCACTCAGTTTCTCTCTCTCTCTCTCCTTCTCGGGTGCGACAGGGAGGAGCTCTTTATACAATAAAGAGTTAAAGGCGGAGGAGGGAGGAGGAACAGGAGGAGGAGGAACAGGAGGAGGAGAGGAGGAACAGGAGAAAGAGAGGGAGGAGGAGAGGCGGAGGAGGAGGAACAGGAGGGCGGAGGAGGAGAGGAGGAGAGAGGAGGAGGAGGAGGAGGAGGAACAGGAGGAGGAGGAGGAGGAGGTGGAGGAGAGGAGGGGAGGAGGAGGAGGAGGAGGAGGCGCCGCTCTCAGGGCGCACCTGTCCCGTGGCCTCCTCCCGCCGCGCCGCCTCTAAGACGGCCCTGGGAGCCAGACGGGGCCAGGACCCCCGCAGCTCTCGAGGGCCTGCCGCCCTCCGGCCTGCGGGCCCGCGCGGGCCCGCGCGGGCCGGGGCACCGCGAGCCAGGGCTCTGCCAGGTCGCGCGGGGGGGCCCGAAGAGAGGAGGGTCGGTCGTCGCAGTGGCCTCCTCCTCCTCCTCCTCCTCCTCCTCCTCCTCCTCCTCCTCCTCCTCCTCCTCCTCCTCTTCCCCTCCTCCTCCTCCCTCCTCCTCCTCCTCCTCCTCCTCCTCCTCCTCCTGCCTCCTCCTCGTTCTCGAGGAGCCTTTCCCGCTGCGAGTGCGCGAGTGTGAGCCAGTCTCAGCCCGAGAGCGGCGGATTGACGGCGAGTCCGAGTACGAGTAACATGTTAATGTGGTCAACTTTTTGTGGTGCCAAGCGGATGTGCTTGCCACAGCGCGGTGGTCATGTGGCCCATCAAGGAGACACGCCTGCCTCCCCAAACAGGCGCGCCGCTCGACACATCCCCGCACTTGAACACGAACGCGAACACGAATTTCCCCCTGGTTGTTCTATCTTTGGGTGCCCAAGTGCTATGCGTGCTGCATCGCTGTGATTGTGTGGCCCTCAAGTGAAACACGTCTTCATCCTAAATCAGGCGAGCTGCTCGAAGCATCCCGACAATCTGAATGCGAATAGGAAAGCATGGTACACCATGGCGTTTCCCTCGTGGTGTGCCCAAATATTATACTTGCTGCATCGTTGTGGTCCTGTGGCCCTGCACGAGGACACGTCTACCTTCTAATCTAGCGAGCCGCTCGAGACATCCTCACGACCTGAACGCGGACGCGAAACCGAGGTACCCTCTGATGGCTCCCTCTTTGGGTGCCCAAGCGCCGTGCATGCTTCATCGCGGGGAGCATGCGGCCCTGCGAAGAGAGACGCGGACCTCCCAAAGCAAGCGGGGCTCTTGAGACATCTCCACGCTCCGGTCGCGAACGGGACAATGAAATATCCGCTGGTGTCTACCCGTTGGGTTGCCCGAGAGCCTGTGCCTCCTGCCTCGCGGTGGCATGCGGCCCTGGAAAAGACACGCGTGCACTTCACACAGCAGGCGAGCAGCTTGGGCCAACCCAAGCCCTGAGCGCGACTGGGAGCCGGAGAAGCCTCCTGGCGGGGATCCCCGTGGGGGGTGCTCAAAGGGGGGGACTGCGATGTCTGACGTGAGTAGGGATGTGACTGAGTCTGAGCGTGAGTAAGTCTGGGTGCGGGTGAGACTGAGTGCGAGTGAGTCCGAGTGCGAGTGGGTCCGAGTGGGAATGAGTATGAGTGCGAGCGGTCTGTTCATGTATGTTCCTTGAGCATGCTTGAATCCAGTGTGAGTGCGTCTGAGCATGAGCGAGCCTGAGTGTCAGCGGAACTTGATACTGAGCGTGAGTGGGTTGGAGCATGGGCGGGAGCATGGGCGGGAGGAGGGAGAAGGCGGGAGTGAGGGGGAGGCGGAGGCGCCCGACCACTAAGACGGAGCCAACAATTAGGATAGGGTATAGGATGTGGGGGGTAACTCTTGCAGAGGGCGAGCTAAATCTGGGCCATGTGTTGCCAGCTGGAGAAGGGGCACTCGCACACACACACACACAATCACACACACACACACACACACACACCTATGTATATATATACATATATGGGAGATCCCGGGCCCCGGGCCCCGGGCCGGAACCTCCCTTGTATATAGGGTGCGGCCCTCTCCCGGGGCGCCCTTCCGGCGGCCCCCGCGCGTTCCAGCCCGCCCAAGAGGGCTTCAGGAGCGCCGAGAGAACCCCAGGATCGCTTCAAGACCGCCACAGATCGCTTCCAGAAGGGTCAAGACGCGCTCAAACCGCCCCAAGAGGCCTTCAAGAGGCCCCCCACGAGCGCCCCGGGAGACCAAAATAGCCCCATTCCCCTCGTAAAACGTACATTTTTACGATATCAGCTCCCTTAGCTGTCGGAGCGGCCCGAAAGCCCCACGAGGCGCCCAAGGACGCTCCAGGACGACTGAGGACAGCCCCAGACGGCCCAGGAGGCCCTCCCGGGACGCTCCTCTGGCGGCCCCCGGGCTGCCCAGTCCGCCCAAGAAGGCTCCAAGAGCGCCGAGAGAACCCCAGGATCGCTTCAAGACCGCAAAAGATCGCTTCCAGAAGGGCCAAGAGGCCATCAAACCGCCCCAAGAGGCCTCCAAGAGGCCCCCCAAGAGCGCCCCGGGAGACCAAAATGGCCCCATTCCCTTCGTAAAACGTACATTTTTAGGATATCAGCTCCCTTGGCTGTCGGAGCGGTCCGAAAGCCCCACGAGGCGCCCTAGGATAGCCCGAAGACAGCCCAGGAAGGCCTCCCGGGACGCTCCTCGGGCGGCCCCCGGGCCTCCCAGTCCGCCAAAGAAGGCTCCAAGAGCGCCGAGAGAAGCCCAGGATCGCTTCAAGACCGCCAAAGATCGCTTCCAGAAGGGACAAGAGGCCATCAAACCGCCCCAAGAGGCCTCCAAGAGGCCCCCCAAGAGCGCCCCGGGAAACCAAAATGGCCCCATTCCCTTCGTAAAACGTACATTTTTATGATATCTCATCCCTTGGCTGTCCGAGTTGTCAGACAGCCCCAGGAGGCGCCCAAGGACGCCCCAGGACGCCTGAGGACAGCGCTGAGAGGGCCTAGGAGGGCTTCCTGGGACGCTCCTCGGGCGGCCCCCGGGCCTCCCAGTCCGCCCAAGATGGCCCAAGAGACTTCCCGGTCGCCCCGAGAGGGCCCCCGGAGCGCTCCGATACGGCCCAACATGGCCTCCAGAAGGGCCACGAGGCCGTCAAGACGCCCCAAGAAGGCTCCAAGAGGCCTTCCAAAAGGGCCCCGGAATCGCCACGGAATCGGACCCGTGCTTGCGAACACCGTTTTCGGAGCAAACTAGAACCTAAGCGCGCGCGAAGCGCGCATATATATATTATATATATATAAATATCTATATATATATATATATATATATATATATAGAATATATATCCCGGGGGACGAGGTCCCCCGGCCGAGCCCAAGGACCTCGGGGGCGCATGGGGGTGCAGGGCCCCCAGGGCCGCTCGGAAGGGTTCCCGTTCGGTTCCAGAGACCGCCAGGGCGGGCTCCAGCCCAGCCAAAACAGCCCGCGAACGCTCCAACACGCGCCAGCATGGCTTCCAGACGAGCCCAGCGGCCACCAACACGCCCCAAGCGGCCTCCAAGACGCCTCCCACGAGAGCCCCAAGAGGCAAAAAACGCTGTTTTGTTTTAACTGGTTTTTCCATTGTTTTTTGTCTTCTCGTTTTTTCCTGCTTTCCGACGCTCCAAGACGGCCCAAGAGGCCCCCAAGAGAGCCCCAGGACGGCCCAAGAGGCCCCTAAGCCGGCCCCAAGACGGCCCAAGAAGCCCCCAAAGGCGTCCCGAGACGGCCCAAAAGGCCCCCAGGACGGCCCAGGAGCCGCCCAAGACAGCTCCAGGAGGGCCCCGCCATGGCCTGAAGACTGCCTAAGCGAGCCCAGCGGACCTCCAACAAGCGCCAGCATGGCCTCCAAACGAGGCCAGAAGCCACCAACACGCCCCAAGCGGCCTCCAAGAGGCCTCCCAAGGAGCCCCAAGAGGCCACAACCGTTGATTTTTCATTGTTTTTTTTTCTATTTGTTTTGCCTTATCGCTTTTTCTGTTTTCCGACGCTGCCAGACGGCCCAAGAGGCACCCAAGACAGCCCCAGGACGGCCCCAGAGGCCCCTGAGCCGGCCCCAAGACAGCCCAAGAGGCCCCCAAAGGCGTCCCAAGATGGCCCAAAAGAGCCCCAAGACAACCCAGGAGCCGCTCAAGACAGCCCCTGGAGGGCC